AAAAAAAAAAAATAGCACTGCAAGAATAATATTGAAGTATTCTATGGGCAAAATGAGTCCTGATATGGCTCTGTAGGATAAGCACTTGACTATGCTCCTTGAAAACTCTATACAGGGTCACTATGGGTCAACACCGACTCAACGGTACTTAACAACAGCTAACACTGCTACATGAGCAATTCAAACCCACCAGCCACTCTAAGAAACCCTATCAAAAGTCTACGAGTCAGAACTGACTTGATAGCACTTAAAAACAACAACAATGGGAAAAAACATTGAATGTTTTTTTCAAAAAAAAACATCAAAGGAAGATAGAAGGAATACATAAAGTTATTGTACCAAAAAAGAATTTGCTGATGTTCTATCATTCCAACAGAACCAAAGACATTAAAAGAACTCCAAGCTGCACTGATAGCTTTGGTGAAAAACAAGTCTCCAAGAATTGATAAAATATAAACTGAAATGTTACAACAAACCAGTGTAGTGCTGGAAGCACTCACTCATTTATGCCAAGATATTTTGAAGAGAGCTATTTGGAAAATCAATTGGAAAAGATTCATATTTTTGCCCATTCCAAAGAAAGGTAACACAACAGGATGAAGACATCATCAAACAATATTATTAATATCACAGGCAAGTAAATTTTTGCTGAAAGTAATTCAAAACAGTTGCAGCAGTACATTGACAGTGAGCTGTCAGAAATTCCAGCTAGATTCAGAAGAGGACAGGGAACTAGGGATATCATTGCTGACATCAGATTGAATATTGGCAGAAAGCAGAGAATTTCAAAAAGATGTTTACTTGTGCTTGATTGAATAGGCCAGGGTATTCAACTGTGTGAATTACAGCAGCTTACATTGTGAAAAATGGGTATTCAGAACACTTAATTGTGCTCATGAGAAACCTGTACATATACAGTTGTTCAAATTCAAAAAGGGGATACGGAATGGTTTAAAATCAGGAAAGTTGTGTGTTTTCTTTCAGCACTGTTTTCTTTCATCGTATCTATTCAACCCGTATGCTGAGAAAATCATCTAAGAAGCTGAATTATACAAAGACTAACGTGGCATCAAGATTGTAGGAAGGTTCATTAACAACCTGAGAAACACAAATGACACAACTTTACTAGCTGAAAGTGAAGAGGACTTGAGGCACTTACTGATGAAAATCAAAGACAGCAGTCAACGATACGGATTGCACGTCAATGTAAAGAAAATAAAAATCCTCACAACTGAACCACAAATAAAATCTTGACAAAAGACTGACGTTGTCAAAGACTTCATTTTGTTTCAGTCCATAATCAACATTCATTGAAGTCAAGAATTCAGTGACACATTGTGTTAAACAAATCTGCTGCACAAGAACTCTTAAAGTGTTAAAGAGCAAAGGTGTCACTTTGAGGAGTAACATGTGCCTGTACCAAGCCAGGGTACTTTCAATTGACTCATATGCATGAATAAGCAAGAACCTAGAAGAATCAATACATTTGAAATATGGCGTTGGAGAAGAATACTTAAAGTACGATGGACTGTCAGAGAATAAACACTTCATATTTTGTACTTTGGATATGTTGTCAGGAGGGACCAGTCCCTGGAGAAGGACATCATAATTGGGAAAGTGGAGGATCCGCGAAAAAGAGAAAGACCCTCAATGAGATGAGTAACGCAGTGAAGGTAGCAATAGCTCAGATATAATAACAATTGTGAGGATGACTCAGACTCAGACAGTGTTTGACTCTGTTGTGCTTAAGATCACTATGAGTCAGAATCAACTCAAGGGCACCTTACAACAACAACAACATTCTAATTTAGGACTGTGAATATCTTCTCTCATCATTTAATATATTAGTGGTTTTTTGAAGTTTATTTTTCCTGTGTTATATCTAATTGAATAGATTCCTTTTGAGTTTCCTAAAGCTTCCCGTTTTGCCTCTGTGAAAGCAATTTACAAATGTATTCCTGTTGTTGTTAAGTGCCATCTAATTAATGTTGACTCATAGTGAACCTGCAGAGGGTTTCCAAGGAGAGGTTGGCGAGCTTGAACTGCTGATCTTGCAGTTCAAACTGCCATTGTTGTCCATTGCTAATATTATCTTATAGCGTCACACTAGGACTCCACAAATGTCTTAAATTAAAGAATGAGGCACCAAAACATCAAGCAAAAGCTAATAGGTAGGCTTCAATTTAGTTTTCCAGTAGGGAGGCAGTCATTTCATTTGGGAACTTCAAAGTCAGGATCTTCTAATATCATTTTGTTTTTTAAGAGAGAATACCAACCTGCTATTATGTAAGGTACATGCTCCTGCCAGGTGTGGAGAGAGGGGATGAGAGATTAAACTTTCCTTTCTATTAAACCCTCTCTTATCAGTACTGGACCACATCATTCTCTTTATTTGTGTACTGGCATTCTAAACATCTCAGGGATTCTGGGAGATGAACATGTGGTGCTAAACGTCAAGTCTTCTTGACCCTACCAAATCAATTACCGTTGAAAACTCACATCTGTATCTAACTACTATGCTATTTTCTTTGGTCTTGTATTAAATTTTTTATCTCCTTATTGATGTTAAATGCCACTGAGTCAGTTCTGACTCATAATCACCCTGTGTAGGGTTTCCAAGGAGTGGCTGGTGAGTTTGAACCACCATTCTTGCAGTTGAAACTGACCTTGAGGTCAAGTGCTTTTCCTATGGTGTCACACCAGGAGTCTTAGTAGGGAAAATAAAAACTAATATAGACTGTCATCTTAATTATAATTTCAGTATCTTTATTGCTAATTTAAAAATAGTTATAAAAAAGAGGTTAGAATGATCCTTTTGCAAAGAAAAAGTAGCTATATTGAAAATGCAACAAAATGTTAAAGGTGATCATGTGTGGAAGGGTTAACACATAAATAAACAGCTTTAAAGAGTTCTCAAATTTCCACCCTTTGACTATGGCTAACATCACATTACCTACCCCCAGTTGCAAAGAAGAAATTGATAGATGCTATACATTAGCTGGGAGTCCTGGTATGGCTCTGTGGGTTAATGTTCCAGACTGCAAAGCCATTTGAACTACAAGGTTGGTGGTTCAAGCTCACCAGCTTCTCCTTGGAAACCCTATACAGGATCGCTATAGGTCGGAATCTACTCGATGGCACTTAAAAACAACAATACATTAGCCGATCAGGAATCTCTTAGTAACAAAAAAAAAAAGAATAATACATAATGAGGCTACAGCTAAAAGACCTTGTCAAAAGCACTTAATGTAAAAAAAAAAAAAAAAAGTACTTACTGTAGAGACAGCTCTGTGTCATTTACAAGTAAAGAAGTAAAACATATTATCTATACTCTTGGTAAGTTGCAGAAATTAGATAAAATGCATTTTCTATATATAACTACATTTCTGATACAGGAATGTATCAAAACTGTGCAGGATGCTTAAGGCAGATAGAGAAAAATGATGGAGAAAGAGTTCTTGAGAGAAGAGAATCATAAAACAATATCTAAAAAAGTTACTCAAAATGAAAGTGATAAAAATATCTTCTGTGAATTATTGCAAATAACCAGCTATTCTTTATCTTTATTAATATTTCCAAAAGAAAAGTGCCTATTCCATTTGATCATATTTTTTAAATTTTGAAATCATGTTAAGTAAAAGTTATATAACATATACTTTTTTAATAGAAATTACTTAATTCAACAGTTCAGATTTCAGTTCATTTCTGTTGTTTTAATTAATCTTCTCTGTTATCACACAAACAAAAAGTAAGATTGGTATCACTAGAAATATTATCTTAGTACGGGCTGACAGAAAGTATGAAAATTTCCCAAAACAATTCTTAAAAAAAAATTACTCCCTGTCAAAATGTGTAAAATATCTTCTTTTTCCTGTACAAAAAATTTCTGTGTTTATACTAATCTCCTTCATTTCATATAATCTATTTTCTATATCTACATTTGTTGCCTTTTATAATAATTATCAGAGTCCTGGTGTGGCACTGTGGGATAAAGCACTAGACCACAAGGTCAGTTTGGACCACAAGGTCAGCGGTTCAAGCTCACCAGCTGCTCTTTGGAAAGCTTATAAAGGGTAACTATAAGTCAGAACCAACTCAACCTCAACAGCACTTAACAACAATATAATAATAATGACCTTTTATCTTGACTCTTTTTTACATATGAATCTTTTCTCCTACTAGACTATGTTGATATTTGAGGGAAAGAACTAGAACAAAAGGAATAGAAGAAGGAAAGAGACAGAAGGAATAAGAATGTAGTCTCTGGCAAGTTAAACTTGTTTTCTAGGAGAAAAGATCTACTTCCTCAGTGATATCCTTCTAACTCATTCAAAATTATTGGGTTATACCATAAGAGAATTTGATTTGAAAAGAGAGGATTTAAAACAGTTAAATGAGATATTGAGTAGTAGTGTTCACTCTTCCCCTCTAGAAATAATGAAAGGATAAACTTTGACAGTATGAAAAGGTGTAAAGTTAGCCTCCATGGGACCTAACAGCAGCAAAAAATGAAATTCACCTACAGGAGAAGAGTGTTGTGGTTCACTCTATACAGGGTGCCTATGAGGGAGAACAAACTTGAAGGCACTTAACAACAAAGGTGGAAAAATGAAATGGTATCAAATTATTGTTTGTTGTTATGTACCGTCCAGTCATTCTGACTCATAGCGACCCTGTGTAGGGTTTCTGAGGCTGAAAATCTTTGTGGGAACAGAAAGCCTCATCTTTCTTCTGTGGAGCAGCTGGCAGATTCGAACTGCTAACCTTGTAATTCACAGTTCAGTGCTTATCCTACAAAGCCACCACACTCCCTGGTATTAAATTATTTCTTATTAAATGAAAAAAATATAAGGTAGTTGAGTTTTAGGGACTATTCCGAATTTTTAAACTATGATGGTCTTTGAAAGTATCAGCTAATTCTATGAATTAGCAGTTCGGATTAACTACCCCTTCTGTTTTTCCTTTAAGGATATTTTACGATCCCATAGCCGCTTCATGGCATTCTTGACATCCTCATTTCTCAGTGTATAAATGAGTGGGTTTAGCATTGGGGTGATGGTAGTGTAGAACACAGACACAGCTTTATCCAGTGGGAAGGTAGTGGATGGACGGAGATAAATAAAGATACAAGGGACAAAGAAGAAAGTCACCACAGTCAGATGGGACCCACAGGTAGAAAGAGCCTTACGCCGGCTTTCTGCAGACCGCTTCCGAAGACTAAATAAAATGACTGTGTAGGAGGCCAAAAGAATGAGGAAACAGCCCAGGGAGATGAGACCACTATTGGCAATCACCAACATGTTTACCAAGCTTGTATCAGCACAGGCAAGTTTTAGAACTGGGTGGACATCACAAAAGTAGTGGTCAATGACTTGGGCATTGCAGAAGGGCAACTGAAAAGTCAAGAGGGTCTGAACAAAGGAATGACCCAGGGCCCCTAACCAGGACAATGATGCCAGCACTGAACAAACATTGGCGCTCATGATGGTCGTATAACGAAGAGGTTGGCAGATGGCGGCATAACGGTCAAAAGCCATGACAGTCAAAACAAAAATCTCAGCACAACCAAAAAAATGGAAGGTAAACATCTGGGTTACACAGCCCCAGTAGGAAATTGTTTTTTTCTCAGAAACAAAGTCTACAATCATCTTCGGTGCTGTGGCTGATGAGTAGGCAATGTCCACAAAGGACAGGTTACTGAGGAAAAAATACATTGGTGTGTGGAGCCGGGTATCACAAAAAACTGTTAACAAGATAAGCATATTTCCCACCATGATCACGATGTAGAAGAGGAGGAATAAGGCAAAGAACATGAGTTGCATTTTAGGATCTTGGGACAGTCCCAGGAATATAAATTCAGTGACATTGTTAACTACTTCCATGGGGATCCAGGCAGGACGAGTGAAATGGCTCTGATTCTCTGCAAAAATAAACATATTTAAACCATTGTAAGCATGGTAAAGTTTAACAGGAACAATCTTATGAAAATATGTATTATTGTTGTGTGCCCTCGAGTTGGTTCTGACTCAGAGTGCCCCTGTATAGAGTTTCTGAGGAGCGGCTGGTGAGTTTGAACTGTCAAACTTATAGTTCAAACCAAACTTGAGGTCAAGTGCTTAGCCTATGATTCCATAGCGGGACTCCATGAAAAGGGTAAGTAAGTATGGTAAAGGAGATTCTTCAAATTCCTTAAATATAGCTCCTAGATATTTTTCTAATTCTTCACTTTTTTACCACATAATCAACTTACATTTTGTTTTCTGTTACATTTAGACCTTTTCTCTAAACAAGAATCTAGAGATCTGAGTTTCTTCCCACTTGACTTTTAAAGTTTTCCCCTAGTCATTTCTCTCTTACTTTCTCTCTCACTCACTCTCTCTCTCTCTCTCCAGAAATTATATTTGAAGCAAAAATGTAAATAATTTTAAGTGAATAATGTGTAACCTTAAAGATAAAAGCAAGAAATCAGAATCTCAGATCTAAAATCCCTAATAAGTCATTTTAATACACATATATACACAGGTCAATTTTAGAAGAAGTAGGCTCTCCTTAAGCAAGTGAGGAAGACTCAGTTTTCTGTTTCTAAATTACACTGAAATTTGCAATACAGTTCAAAGTTAAGAGGAACCCTAGGAATGAAAAATAAAGTTATACTTAGTGACTCAGAACAACTTAATATAGTGGCCTCCACTTAACAAAATCCACGCTTGTAAACCAATATTGGGGGAAGAGTGCTAAACCTTGAACCTCACATTGCTTACCAGTAAAAAAAATATATGAGGCGCAATCAACTAATAGAGAGAAAGACCAGTTCCTCCATTGTACTAAAGATTTTACAAGTTTGAAAAGGTAACAAGGATAAATACATTGTTGTTAGCTGTTGTTGAGTCTGCCCCTGTCTCATAGAGACATTGTGAACAATAGTATTAAATCGAATATACAAGACTCTATTTTGAAATATCTTACCTTTCCTCATTACCTCAAACCTGTTTGTCTTGAAAAAGATAAATTTTTGTCCTAATAATCCTAGGTAAAATGGCATAACTTTTCCCATAAAAATTATGCCATCAGTTGTTGTTGTTAAGTGTTTTCAAGTCAGCTCTACCTCATAACGACCCTGTATAGGGTTTCTGAGGAGCAGCTGGTGAACTTGACCCGCCGACCATGCAGTCCAGCACATTAACCCACAGTGCCACACCAGGACTTAAAGTAAATTAAGTACAACTATTAGTAATTTAAGGAGTGCTGGTAGCATAGTGATTATGAGCTGGCCGGCTAACCTCAAGGTCAGCAGTTCGAAACCACCAGCTGCTCTGCGGGAGAAGGATGAGGCTTTCTGGCCCCATAAAGATTTACAGCCTCAGAAACCCTATTCAGCATCGCTCTGAGTCGGAACCGACTCCATGGCACACCACCACCACCACTACCATTAGTGACTTATGTGAGTTATTTCATATTCTGGTTTGTGATTATAATCACCAACAATGACATTATTTTCAAAGAAAACTGTGTTCTAAATTTTAAACAGCAGTCTTATAAATATATTTTTTAATTATACCACATTTGTAACTTAGAAATTCTTTGTTTGCATTATCTAGAACAATGCTGCTGTTGTTGTTGTTAAGTGTTGAGTTGGTTCCTACTCATAGCAAACCATATAGGGTTTCCGAGAAGCAACCTTGTAAGTGTAGTCCAGTGCTGACCTTACAGTGCCACATGACCCAGATTACTGCTGATATGATCTGGAACACAGCAGCTCTTTAAAGTGTTCCAAGAGCAAATAAAATTAGTTTGAAGACTAAGGTGAGCCTGACCCATGACATGAAATCTTCAATAGCCTCATATGCATGTGAAAATTGGACAATGAATAAGAAGGACCATAGAAGAATTGATACATTTAAGTTGTGGTGTTGGATAAGAATGTTGAAAGTACTATGGACTGCCAGAAACACAAACAAATCTCTGTTGAAAGTACAACCAGAATGCTCCTTAGAAGTCAGAAAGGCAAAATTTGTCTCTCATACTTTGGACATGTTATCAGGAGAGACCAGTCCCTGGAGAAACACATTACAGGTGTTAAAGTGGATGGTCAGAGACAGAGGAAGACCCCAAGAGATGGATTGGCACCATGGCAGCCGCAATGGGCTCAAGGGTAAGAATTGTGAGGCTAATGCAGGACCGGAAAGTATTTCATTGTGTTGTGTACATGGTCACTATGAGTCAGAACCAACTCCATGGCACTTAACAACAACAGAACAATACCAAATCACTTAATAGATCATTTTCTACTTTTAAAGAAAGTATAGAACAAATTGCTATGACTACTTCTTTGATGTACAAAAAAAGTCTCACAATGCATACAAAAACATATTGATAGCAACTAAAAAGATCAAGCAAAAACAAGAGCCTCTCAATATTGTTGTTGTTGTTAAGTGCCGTCGAGTCGGTTGCAACCCATAGCGACTCTGTACAAGGTTTCCGAGGGTGTAAATCTTTACGGGAGTAGAAAGCCTGGTAGTTTTGAACTGCTGACCTTCAGGTTCCCAGCCCGATTCGTAACCACTACGCTACAAGAGCTCTCAGTATTACTGCATCTCAAATAGCATGTTTTAAGAAAAATTGTAATTTATTAGTGACTCCAGTTTTCTAAACACAATCTCAATTGTGTTTTCTGAATTCAGGTTAAGGAATATATTTTTTCCTGAGTTTCCTGTTCTTACTAAAAATTTAAAGTTTATGAGACAAGGTCAGGGATTATGAGACGTTTCTTAAGCATAACAGAACTAATATCCCTCATACTTAATGATCTCTCAGGATCTTGAAGTACATATATAATAGTGGAAGAAAAGCTGTATTGGCATGTAGAAATTAAGACGTTTGATTTGTTTTGGTTTTGGTTTTACTATTTGATACCTAAAATAACATGTTTGAGTCTTTTTCAAATAAAATGTTTCATAAGAATTTTGCAAGCCTCTTAAATACAGCATTTAAAAAAATGACATCATGTACTTTTCCAGGGTTTGGTATCTTTCCAATTCTTTTCCTTCAGGCTCAAGTGGGTTGAATGTAATCATATATCAGAAAATCTATGTTCTAATGAAAGTGATAAAAATGCCACATTCAGTTAGATGTATGTAAAAAAAAAAAAGTAGAAGAAGAAGGAAAATTACAAGATCACTATAACTTCTTCTGCCTTTTGGAGTTAATGTCAGTGCCCCATTTTTATACAGAAAGCAAACTCAGTTTTCCTATTTGCTGCCTAGCTCATTCAACTTAATTTTTAAAGAGCAGACTGTCTTGTACAAAAAAAAAAGTAAATTTCTAGGTATCAGGACTCTGCAAACTTAAATTTCAATATTTCTCAAAAGTTAAACCATTTTCAACCTACTTCAGTAATGTAATGTCCCATTTATTTTTGCAGCAAGAAAGAGCATGGTATTTAAAGATAAAATAATTGAGCTTAACACACAGCTCTATCTCTGACAGACTTTATGACTATAACACAAGTTTCCTAACTTCTGTGATTCTCAGAGTTCCTCCCTTTAAATAAACTACTAATTTACCTATGGTAAGGATCAAACTAAATAAAGGTTGTAAAAGCATTAAGCAATCTACAAACCTAAATCATGATTTTTCTAGTGATGGAATTTCAGGAGCATTAGAACCAAACATCTGAACTCTGTGGACCAGATTGATTCTACAGAACTGATTGCTTATTTCCACTAGCTTATAGAGGTTCTTCCATAAAATGTGAGCTCTGGGATGATGCCAAAGAATATACATTAATTATCATGTGCTATTAAAGAGAGCCCAGGTGAGGATAATGCAGTGGTTAAAGCGCTCAGCTACTAACTGAAAGGCAGACAGTTCAAGACTACTAGCCTCTCCATGGGAAAGAGATGTGGCAGTCTGCTTGGATTTGAACCACCAAGCTTACACTTAGCAGTCCAGTGTTTATCCCACAGGGTCACACCAGGACTCCTAAAACAAGGTAAAGCCTCTTTAAGATATCATCTATTTGATCTTCTATACTTCAGAGTACTAATATTTACATATCCTTTCATTCAGTAAATATTTATTGAGCAAAATCTTTATGCTAGACACTATGCTGGGAATTTTAAAAGATGAATAAAATTCAATTTCTTAAAAAAAAACCACCTGTTTTAGAGTAATATTTTAAAATTACTTCCAAAATTTCCTGAGACTGGACCTTTTATGTAAAAATCCTATATTTTTTATGAATAAAAATAATTTTAGTGATCACTTGATGGTTTTCCACTTATTTGGTGAAGCAAGTGAGATTCAAAGAAGTTGAGTCATCTATATTTCACAATTCGTTTCATTGCCAGTGAGAACTAAATTCCAATTGAAATAATACTGAAACACACTTCAAACTGTTCTAAATTATTTTCTGAATAACTTAATTGAATTAGTGGAAGAAATGTAAAGCAAGTAAAGCATTAAATATTCCTCTTTTATTATTGAATATAATTTAAATCAATGAAAATTGTCCTTGCCTTTTTCACTGATTGCTAAAGTGCCATTCTTGCAGGAAATTAACTTACTCTTGTGGGCTTCTTCAGTGTGATCCCTTGACTCGGATTTGAGCAACATGATATCTTCTTAGATCAATAAACCTTCCTGAGACAGAAATATGGCCTCAACAGTAAAAGACTGAGAACTTTGCTTAGTGATTCTTTTCCTACATATGTGCCATATTTCCACTCTTACAGCCTAACGAAGCAGTCCTGAATTTGATCTCGCCCTCTCTGTGTCTTCCTCTTTCCCTTGCTTCCTCTCTCACTTGCAAAGATAAATTGTTACATATTTAGAAACATGTCATGGTTTCTGACCTTGGTTTGCAAGAGCTTCTGTCTGTGGTTGCCAAGAGGCAGAAACTGTCAGCAATCTTTATGCATCATTAAAACCCTGAGGG